GTTAAACTAATCAGCTGCAGCATCTTTATCAGGTTACTTCAGTTCTTGCTCATGAACGAGACCCAAACATGTTTTTGAGCTATAAAACGAAGACGTTACAGCTTCAGTGAAACGCTTTGACTCTGTCATAGAGTTTATTTACTGTCATTACAAATATTCAGTTAAATGAGTCAATAGTCTGTTAGTGCAGGAGAAGGAAGTGCTGCTCGGTGGCCAGTTAAAAAGTTCTTCTTCTTCATCATCGTCTTCTTCTTTTGTAGAGAAAAACACCAGAAAACTAAAACTCTTTCTGGTTTTTGACACCAGAAGTTTGTTGGAGACCAACAGTTTGGGGAACGTTAGCAGTTTAACATAAAACAAACCGATCAGTGTTCTGATCCGTGGTCGCTGCAGGTTCAGAGGTCCGTTTGCCGGTTCGGTCCTCGGCCCTGGTCTTGACTCGGAGCCGTGCAGCGTCAGCGAGCGGCGCTGAGCCTCGCTAATGGTTCTGCGTTTCCTGGTATTCGCAGCAGCTGGATCCAGTTAGCGCCGCCGGGCCTCGGGGTCGGGGTCGAGGCTCCGGACCTCCCCACCGCCAACCGGCAGATGTTCAGGGTCTGAGGTCAGAGGAGGTTCCTGGGAGTCGGGACGCTCTGAGGCTTCATTTATACCCAAAGAGTTCATATCATGTGTTCATCAGAGAAGATTGAAGGAGCCACAGACGGGTGGAGCTGATCAACACACTTCGTTTATTCACCAAAATATTTTATTGTTTTGATAAATTACAGATATTTAGTGAAATCACAGATAAGCATCACAAATCAATTTTAAAAAGTTCAAATTGTCACTTGTCGTCTTCGTATTCAGATAATTTAAGAACCAAACTAATCAAAAGCTTCGTTTAGAGTCAGTTTACAGTCAGGAGGAGTTTAATCCAACGACTTCTTTATTTATTTTCAACATTCACGCACAGAAACATACGTAAAAATCCTTCGTCCTCTCCAGTGACTCATTCTTCTCTATAAAATCTGATTTAAACGTCTGATTTCCTGCTTTTAAGTTGTTGATAAACCTTCATATCTTCTTGTTTCTCTCAGTAAATAAGTTGTTTTTCCAGCAGAACGTTTGGCAGCTTTAGTTTGATCCAGTGTGGGTTTAATGTTTATCATTTATGAAGCTGCTGTTGATCAAAATCTGTTTGTTTTTATTATAATTATTTGACTTTTGGGTAAAAATCCATTCAAATCTTTTTCTCCTCTCGTGTAGCTTCTGTCCAAACCGACGCAGTGAAGCAGCTTAAATCTGTTTTGTTTCTGTTAAACCCGTTTAGTTTGCAGGCGTCTGCTGCAGTGAAGTCGTGTGTTTGTTGTGAAGCTGGTTTGGTGCTGTTAGGGTCCGGTTCTGACCCAGACTGGTTGTTGTCCTGGTTCTCTGGAGGTCTGAGGGTTAATCAGCTGTTTCATTGTTGACTGAAGCCTCCGGTTTGGACCAGAACCAGCTCTGGTGCCGACCAGGAGGACTCGTCCAGACCTGCTCGAGTGTTTGGTGTGAAGGAATGTAAACAGGAGTCTTATCTGGGCTCAGCCCGGCGCTCAGAACCGACCCACAGCGTTCAGGAGCCTCTAAATGTGTGAACAGGAGGAAGAACAGCTCAAAGGTTTGAGCTCCAACAGGCAGAAATGTTCGTTAGTGGTGTTCAAACAGCAGAAATGTGGTCTGTCTGGTGTTTATCTGGTTTCTCTCAGAGTGTGAAGCGTTTCATCAGGTTTAAACGTGTTATTCAGGCTTTAACAGACGTGTTGGACCAGAGTTTGAGGATTTAAATGTTTAATTTGTGACACAAAATGACAAAAAAGGGTCAAAAGTTGTTTAATGTTATTCAGAAAATGTCCTAAATGACTCNTCACAGGGGCCAGTGACAAACACTAAACACATGGAACTGCACATGGAGCACATCATGTGTTGGGAAAGACACAAACATTATTGGCCGGCTGAGCTTGAACACAAAGCTAGAGCAAATCAACGCTAAGTGCTGCAACGACTACAAGGAATACACAGAGGATACACAAACTGAGTTAGTGAGGACAGATGACATTGAAGGACTGCAGGACTGAGGTCAGGACGTCCTCCTGACCCGCCTGATTGTCTTTCACATGTTGTTGAAGGGCATATTTGGCACAACACGGGATGCATGTTGTGACAAAGGGCAGAATTCACCACTTTAAACCTCCTCTGGTGACTCACATGTTTGTTTCACCATCTGAAACAGGTCTGGTCTGTCCTACGCTGGAAACCTGACCTGCTGAAACATGGCTTTGATATCACCAGAAATGGGAACAGAATGCTAACAAAGGTGCAGAAGATCACCCTTTAAGGTCGGGCCTAAGACTGGACCAGGAGGAAGATAATCATTCAAGATTGGTCCTTGGTGCAGGAATGAGCACCTAAACACCAAGCAGTGTTTTCCATGGTGTTTCACATGATGGTGCGGAACATACTATGACTTACTGATGTGGACCACTTCCTGAAAGTTCACAGATTCAGCCTTGTTGGTCTCATGCTCAACAAGCTGCTATGAGATTAACTGCTTGTTCAAGATTCTCTGATAGCTTCCATTCTATACATCTGAGGGCAGGCAGGACTGTCTCCTTGAGGTCTGCAGTTTAGGGGAACTAATTGTGAATTAATGGGGTTGTATAATGATCTGCTTCATTGACCTTCACTCTTATTGTTTGGCTCTCAAGACGAGTTAGTTCCTCCTTGTCTTGCTTGGAACATGTGGTGACTATCTCTTTGGTAGGAAGGGCATCAATTGTCAGAGTCTTTCTACAGCATAATAAAGGTCCACATCTGGGGCTGTGCAAGGCATGAACAAGACCTGAACTTCCAGACTGGTCTCTAGACATGGACCTGAGGTGGCAAAGTAATCCTCAGAGACCATTGTTGGGACTTCCAGTTATGGCGGCACCCTGGTAAGACGTGTCTTGTACATGTCTGCGACAGCTTCTGATAATTACTAATGAAACACCTGCAGAAAGAGTAACAGCAAACTACTCTGCTAAGTAATGCAATGATGACAACAGTAAAGAAGAAGGGAAAATGATGAAGCAAGCAAGGCTAGCTAACTTTAGTGCGAGCAGTGTAGCCCAGAAAGCTACTGGGGATATGGAAGAAGGAGATGGAGCCACAGTCGTGCTCAGAGATGCAGAAACTGAACCGCACTGAAGGCAATTAATGACTGGTAAACCTGAGGGCGCTGAAGGACCAGAGACATGCTCCTGATGGATCCCAGAAACACTGGAGAACGACAGCCAAATCGTTCTGGAGAGAGTGCACTGGGTCGGACCGAACAGGGGCGCTAACTCCCCACCAAGAACTCTAATAATGAAGCTCCTTAACCACAGGGACAAACTGAAGGTAATCTATGCTGCCGGGCAAAGAAAGATGTTAAATACAAGAACCAGCAAGTGAGAGTTTATCCTGATCTGTCTGCAGGGATCCACAAGCAGCAGAAAAAACACGACTCGGTCCGTCAGCAGCTGCAGAACCTTAAGACTCGATATGGACCGATTAATCCGGTGAGACTCCTGGTAACATATAGAGAGCTAACCAGCACCTTCAACACTTCCAGAGGAACAAGAGTTCATGGACAAGATAAAGGCAGGAGGCAGTGAGACCTGAACAGTGACCGATAGAGTAACGGATAGCTAAAGATGAACAGCTAGTTAACTACAGCAGGTATGGTTAAAAAAAGAGGGTGTCAGGAAATGGGGTTTTGGGCTGTGGCATTTGTGATCCATCTCCTGCAGGTTTCCACCAGAGGGTGTCCTGGAGAACTCGTGCTGTGCTGGGGCTCATTCCCTGCAGGTGTGTTTCCACACACCTGTGTTGCATCAGGCTTGTTACTCCCTGGATTTAAGGAGCTGGCTGCCAGTCACTCATGGCCTGAGTGTTAACCTCCGTGGTAACGTCAAGCCTCCTCCTGAGTTTTTCTCGTGCTTCTTCCTGAGTCTATGAATAACGGTCTCTCTCCTTCTCCGAAGGTTTTTCCAGTGTTCCCGCTCCTCGCATGTGGTTCCCCTCAACCTACCTGCGCCAGACCCAAGTTTTCCTGGATCGACTGGTAACGCCCCTGCCACTCAGTCACTCCACTGCATTGACCACCGTACCACCCGTCCACCCCAGCTGTCCACAAACCCACCTTGATGTCCCAGCCTGGATCAACCTCATCTTTGCGCATTTCGAATCTCTGCAATAAATATCATTTTTCTAACTCCATTTCTCCTGAGTGTTTCTCTGCATGTGGGTCAGAAACCTCAACAAAACCATGACAGAACACTCAGGCCACTCTGACCCAGCAGAGGCTCTCAGGAGAATCATCTCCAAACAGGCAACCTTAATCCAGTCCCATGACAGCGTTCTCCGTTCCCTCTCAGAGCAACAAGCAGCAACTAACCAGGTACTTGTACATCTTTCAACAGTCTTACAGAGTTTGTCCACCAGCAGTGCCAGTACCACCCCTCAACCTCCAGAGGGAGCCGCCGCATAACCTTCATCTCCTCAGCCTGTACCCTACCAGGACGTAACTCCACCCACTCCAGAAAAGTTTTCAGGTGACGTAGGTCATTGCGGGGGCTTCCTCCTCCAATGTTCACTCATTTTCAACTGTGCTCCCCAGACCTTTTCCAGTGATGATGAAAAGATTTCCTATGGGTTGGGTCTGCTCTGTGGAAGAGCTTTAAAATAGGCTGAAGCTCGGTTCCAGAATTACCCAAGGTTTGGTGTAACTTTCCAGAGTTTATTCATGAGTTTTAGATGACTTTCAGTCAGGATTCTGACCCACATGCAGGGAAACACTCAGGAGAAATGGAGTTAGAGGACTATGGAAAGTAAGAGAGGGTCAGAAAGCCGTATCTGACTTTTCTATTGAATTTCGCACATTACCAGCATCATCTGGATGGAACTCGTGCCTTGAAGAGTGTGTTTTTTCAGACCTTAAGTGACTCTGTCAAGAATGAGCTGGCTCTTGTGGACGAACCAGAGACCTTAGACGATCTTATTGCTCTAGCCACACACATGGACAACCGTCTGAGGGAGAGGGCTAGAGAAAGGCCTAACCAGAAATATTCACTTCCCCAGGGTTTTTCAAATAACTCACCTTCCTCTCCTCCCTCTATAGCGCAGCCACTAAAATCTACATCCTCCCCGATCCAGAACCCATGGAAGTCGGTCGGACCCAATGAACACCCGAGGAACGGCAGAGGAGGATGCAGTCCCATCAGTGTCTGTATTTGGGAGTTCTGATCATTACATTGCAGCTTGTCCCATCCGTGTAAGAGAGAAGGTCCCCGAGAGGGTCTTTCAGTGAAAACGGGGAGACTGACAGACCAAGCTATTTTGGATATTTCTCCCCTTCTTCTTTTCACTGCGACCCTGTGTTTTAGAAATGACTCAATTCGTCTCAGTGCCCTAGTCGACTCAGGTTGCGATCAAACATTAATTGCCCAATCCATTGTCACACAGTGCCACCTTGAGACCATCCCTTTGGAGAAACTGCTGAAGGCCACCGCTCTGGACGGTAAACCTTTACCCCAGATTACCCACCGGACAAAACCACTCCACCTTATCATCTCAGGTAGATATCATGAAGACCTACCATTTTGGGTGTTCTCATCATTCCATTCCTCCATAATCCTAGGTTTTGATTGGCTCCAAGCACATAATCCACACATCGACTGGAAGGAACGCCGCATCGAAGACTGGTCCACGAACTGCCTCTCCTCCTGTCTCCAATCTGCTGTTCCTCTGAGCCCGCCTCCAGGGGATGCTCCCTCTGTTGAATCCCAGGATCTGAGTAACGTACCCAGTGAATACATGGACCTTAAACAAGTTTTCAGTAAGGATAAAGCCTGTTCTCTGCCTCCTCACAGACCATATGATTGTGCCATAGACCTGCTGCCTGGAGCCTCACTTCCCACCAGCCATTTGTACAACTTATCCTGCCCTGAGAGAGAATTGATGGAAAAATATAGAAACGAATCCCTTGCAGCTGGCTCAATTCGCCATTCCTCGGCTCCTCTGAGGGCCGGCTTCTTCTTCGTGTCCAAGAAGAACGGGTCCCCCCGACCTTGTGTCTATTACCATGGACTCAATCAGATCACCATCCAGAACCGTTATCCCCTGCCACTCATCTCATTCACCTTTGAGCCACTCCATGATGCCCGTATTTTCACCAAACTCGATCTCCACAATGCCTACCACCTTGTCGGATCTGCCAGGGAGATGAGTGGAAAACAGCCTTCAAGACACCTCTGGGACATTTTGAGTATTTGATCATGCTGTTTAGTCTCTGCAACACCCCCTCAGTTTTTCAAGCACTCATGAACAATGTACTCCGTGATTACCTAAACATCTTTGTGTCTGTTTATCTCAACGATATACTCATCTTCTCCAAGACCATCACAAATGGCATGTCCGCTTTGTTCTGCAACGCCTACCAGAAATCCGCCTGGATGTGAAGGCTGAAAAATGTGAAACACGTCTTCATGGGATCCCCCTTGAAGTTCTGTCCAACGGTGGCTCCCAGTTCACCTCTCAGGTTTGGAAACATTTCTGTGCTGCCCTCAGTGCTAAAGTCTGTCTCACCTCTGGTTACCACCCACAGTCCAACGGTCAGATGGAATGACTTAATCAAGAACTGGAAGCCACCCTCCATTGCCTGACAACACATATCACACATATCATCTGCAACTGGTCTTTCCCCATTTGAAGTTTCCCTAGGTTATCAACCACCACTGTTCCCATCTGATGAAAAGGAGATCTCAGTTACTTCAGTCAACCACCACATCTGCCGTTGTTAACAAGTCTGGACGAACACCACCACAGCTCTCTATCACACCGGCAGTCAAAATAAAAGGATCGCCGACAGAAAATGCACCCCAGCTCTTCAGTGCTCAACTGGTCAGCAGGTATGATTATCCTCCCGTGACATTGCGTTGAAATTCATGTCTAAGAAACTCTCCCCAAGGTTCATCGGTCCATATGAAATCCAGTCCATCGGTCCCACTGCTGTCCACCTACGTTTGCCTCCCAGTCTCCGGATCCATCCTACAATCCACGTTTCCCAGACAAAACCAGTCCATGCCAGCACCTTTTGCCCTCCTTCCGAGCCCCCTCCTCCTGCTATGATGTCCGATGGATTGTGGCCTCCTGTCGGCGGGGTCGGGAGTACTAGTATCTTGTTGATTGGGAAGGCTACGGCCCGGACAACCGTTCCTGGGTGCCCTGTTCTGCCATCCTTGATCCTTCACTCATCTCTGACTTTGAGACTTCTTTGCCATCTACATCTTCTGGGTCGCCAGGTGGAGGCTGTTGAGGGGGGGCTGGGTGATGTCAGGAAATGGGGTTTTGGGCTGTGGCATTTGTGATCCATCTCCTGCAGGTTTCCACCAGAGGGTGTCCTGGAGAACTCGTGCTGTGCTGGGGCTCATTCCCTGCAGGTGTGTTTCCACACACCTGTGTTGCATCAGGCTTGTTACTCCCTGGATTTAAGGAGCTGGNTGAATTTAGACCAATTTAAAACCGTCCTTATACCATAATGATGCTGTAACGCTGCCTGGGCAGATTTTACATCTATAACCTCCACATCTCACCGCCTTACTTATGATTTTAATTTGGTGAAATCAATCCTATAATTCTGATTTAGTTCAGACTTTTAATTTGGTGGGGTCACATTCTAAACCTGCCCAGGAAGGATTACCATCTCAGTTTGTTATCAGGATGATTTCAGTTTGTTCTCGACCAAATCAAAGTTTTAATCTCGCCGAGGCACATTTAAAATCCACCAAAGTTTAATTTGGACTGTGACACATATTTATAACATAGACGAGTTTCTGTCGTGTTGGTCAAGTCCAGACTCATACAGACCATCTCTGAGAACATCTGGACTGTTCTGGAGGAACTTCAGATCAGTTCTAAGTCGTTTAGGACATTTATTGAATAATTTAAACAACTTTTGACTCTTTTTTTTGTCAGTTTGTGTCTCAAATCAAACATTTAAACTCTTCCATCAGGATGAACTCTGGTCTAACACGTCTGTTAAAGAATGAATGACACGTTTCAACACGATAAAACGCTTCACACTCAGCAAAATGACAGAAACACAATCAGCTATAACATGTATACACAGAGCTGAACACATGTACAGACCTCCACCCAGCGTCTGGTTTATACCCTGAAGTAACAGCGTTGGTAGTTACCTAAACCATGTTTATGTTTCTATAATGGTTAATACACCAGCATGTAGAAGATCTTTAATAAAACCAGACAATGATTTTAATGCTAAAATATGATTATTGTTGATATCCAGGATTTTTCTAATTTACTGTTTAAAAAAAAAAAAAGCAGAAAAAATCCATGATTTCTTGATCAGACGTCAGATTCTAGTTTTTTACTCACATCCCTGAACAGAAACATGAGTTTGAATGATTCATGTCTGACTTGAAGCCCAGCGGCTCAGATTTGGTATAAAAACATGAATCCAGTTTAAATTCCTGGTTCCTGCTCAAAACAGTGAAACGCTGAATTAGTTCAACAGGGATTATGAGTGTGTTAATGTCCCAGTGCTGCAGGAAGCGCTTTTATTTTGAAGTTTCAGTCTTAACGAAGTCTGACTTGTAGCTCGTTAACCTGGATCCAGGTGATGATGGATAATCCTGTCTCGTGTCTCCACAGTACCTCCCGTTCCAGTGGCCTCTGCTGGACGTTCCTGGAAGGTCGGCCGTCAGAGACTCGGCGACTCCGACTCACCTGGTAACACCTGCTCACCTGGTTCTGCTCACATGGTTCTGCTCACATGGTTCTGCTCTGGTGTCTAATGTTAATCGTGAACAGGAACTGTTTGCAAATAACTGAAGCTTCGACACGATTCTCTAAAATCAGCCTAAAACCTACAACCACAGAGCTTCTACGTTCGATATAATCAGATTAACGTGTGCAGGTCTTTTCAGAATAAGAGCTTCGTCGTCTTTTTCCACCTCAGAGCAGAAAACGAGGACGTTTACTCACATTACGTCCTTCAGCAGGTTCTTCTGTGATTCACGTCCATAAAATAAGAATTTAAAACATGAGAAGCATCAAGACGGTTTGTAGAAGGAGCAAAGAGCGACGTAACCAGAGAATAAAGAGTCTGATAGGATTCAAAACTAACATTTAAAATGCAGGTAAAGCAAATTAAATGCATTTATTTCACTTTAACATCAGTTTTATTTCAGAACCAGACTGAGCGGCTTTATTAATAGTAATAATAATAATAATAATAATAATAATAATAATAATAATAGATCCCTCAGTGACCCGCTCTCTGTCGTTAGTGTTTACTGGATGTGTTCAGAGTTTCATGACCTTCCAGCAGCTAGATCTCTGCTCAGGTCACCGTTCATCCCATCAGACGTGTTTCGCTGCAGCTCCGGTTAAACTCCGTTCAGTTGGAGCCGTTGAACCAGATTTCCGTCTCCAGCTGGATCCTGAGCAGGTCCAGTCCAGTTCCTACATCTGATACGTGAAGAAGTCGACGGTTCTGGGAGATAAACGCGTCTCGGTGCTGCGGCTGAATGTTATCAGATGGGTTTCCAGTGAAACTTCCTGGAGTATAAAAACAAAACAACTCAACTACTTCCTGTTTGTCGGAGAAACTTAAAAACTCACAGAGAACTTCAAAGTAAAAGCAGGAGTCCAGTTTGATGTTTGCTTTCTAAAAGCACAACTTCTAGAGTTTTCTGTTCTTTTATTGTCTGATTTGTAGTTAAAGCTTCCTGTAGTTGCTGCCGTCCGCCTCTAGAGGGCAGCAACTCTCCAACAGTCAGGCGCTTTATTGTGAAACAGCTTCACTTCCTGCTCAGTGAAGACTTAAACATGTAGAAAATACATGAATCAGTGTGAAATAATTTAGTTTTATCGTATGAGACGATACAACAGAGGTTAAAAGCAGAATTTTCTTTTTTTTTAATCTAAAAGTTAATGTTTAGTTTTAACTTCCTGTTTTTGAATATTTGTTGTAGATAAGAGTTTAGTTATGGTAAAGTTTTTATTTTTTGGATATTTTATGTTGAACAAATTGCTGCTGTTCTACAGAGTTTCACTGTTTTGTTAAATGAAAATAACAAATAGAAAACTCTCAGAAAAAAGTCTGAAGCGTTAACTGTTAAAAAAAGGGTTAAAACTGTAAAACTAAAGGTTTTTGATGTGAATATTATTATATTCTGTGGTGACAACACCATCACACATCTGACTGTATAATAACTGAGCTCGATGTCTCGTTTCAGCCCAACAGCGTCCCGGTGGTGCAGCACCCTCAGCTCGGCCACCTCCACCCTCTGCTGTCCTACAGCCCCGAGGCCTTCTCCCCTCAGAGGGCCTCACCTGGATTCTCCCCCGACGCAGGTGAGACGCCGCCGCCATGGCCAACACACAGCAGCGTTAGCTCTGCTCTCACCTGTGTGACTCACCTGTGTGACTCACCTGTGTGACTCACCTGTGTGACTCACCTGTGCTCTGTGGTCAGCAGGTGTGTCCAGGACGGCCCATGCCGCCTGCTACCCCGTCTCTCCTGGAGGCCTCTCTCCCATCCCCCACGCTCTGGGCTGGCTGTGAGTAGAACACCGACCTCCAGGACGGTTCTGCTCAGTCACAGCTGATCGTCCTGGAAGTTTAAGACCACAAACTACAGATAGTTAAAAACATCCTCCTGACATGTTGTAGCTTCATTTATAAAGTACTTATTTTTATAAATTCCCTCTTTGAGCAGATGGTTCCTCACATTTAAACTTGATTCTGTTTGATCAACAACATCTGAGGAACTATTAAAGATCAAAACCTGAAACGTTCTCTGTTGTTTCTCATCATGTCACTGATCCAGAACCTGTGATATTGGACAGTAGATCAATAATCTCTGATTTATGGGGGAGGTGAAACATGAAGACAAACCATGAAAAATTCCATCTTAGAGCTCGTATGAAGTCATCTAGTGATGTTTTCTGAAGCTCATGTAGCTGCAGGTCACAATAATACAAAACTAAACATGTAGGATGCTTTTATTTTGAAATGCTTGGTCATTAAATTGCAAAAACAACAACCTAAACCAGTATAATAGTAGTTTTAATTCAAATCAATGTAGAATTTCACAGATTCCAGTTTATTTATAGTCTCTGAGGCGGTCCAGATGAAATGAGTCGACTGTTCACTGATTTATTGGATTTCTTCTTGATTCTGGAGCAGGAATCCTTGTTTATCGGTTCAGATGTTGCTCTCAGGTTGGTTCTGCTCTGACTCTCTGAGCTCCGGTTGGTTCCTCCTGCAGCTCAGACGTCTGCTCTCATGGAGTCATTCAGACAGTGATAGACACCTCCAGATGATCGGTGCTGCTGCCTCCAGATGATCGGTGCTGCTGCCTCCAGTCGGGCTTCATCAGAACTGTCGTTAACCTCCTCGTCTGTCTCTTTGTGTTCTTCAGTCAGGGCCAGCCGATGTATCCCATCGCTGGAGGGTTCTCACCTGCAGCTCTGGCCATGAACGCCTCCATGTCCAGGTGAGTCCGCTCACCTGAAGGAAGTGAAACACGTCTGTAGGAGTTTAAGGGTTTAATTTACACCTGTGAGTTTAAAACAGCCACAGAATGCAGTAAAAACAGATTGAATAGGAGCGTTAAAGCTACTCTGATTACTTTCTGAGGCTGAGTTCTTGTATATCCACAGCTTCATGCGGGTTATGAGTGTTTTGAACTTTTAAAACCTTTTGCAATATTTATTCTTCTACATTCACTTCCTTAGTTTTTCTAATAATGTCAGTATTTCTATTCAACCAAAAACTGCAATAGTTCTGTTTGTAGACCTGTTTATGTATATTTTGGTTTATTTTTATTGTCCTGCTTTATTCCTTAAACGTCTGCAGCTGGAGCTTTCCTCGCTGTGGGATCAATAACAGCTGATCTCATTCTATCAATAGAGCTTCATGTCAGACTCAGAAACCCACAAGTTTTGCTTTTAAACTATAATGTGCAGTAACTCAGTGAACCAGCAGGTGTCAGTGTGGATGCAGGTGAAGCACAGGAGCAGGCTGACGGTCGGAGTGATGCATTATGGGTTATAATGATCATCATAATAATAATAATAACTTTATATAACAGCACCTTTATGAGCGGCGGTCATCACATGCGACACAGAGACGATCAGGAAGAATGAAAGAATTAAAAACACCAAAGAACAGGCGGCTGGAAATGAAAACAAAAGAGGACGTATAAAATAAACAGATGGGACATAAACAGAATAAATCAACAGTTACTTAAAAGGTTGTTTGTAGCCGTAGCGTCGCTAAAGCTAACCAGAGGGTTTTATTGTTCTTTTTTTTTTCCCAGATAAAATATTTCAAGAAAAAAGTCACAATATTTAGATGATGATGTTAAAATGTTGGAGATAAAGTCATAGATGTGAGCTCAAGTTTCCTGGAAATATCTTCTGATAGATGTGTTGTTTAGAATTAATTCAGTTTGACTTAATTAGTCAAAAATTTTATGATGAAAAAGTTAAAATATACAAAGAAAATCTAATTCAGGCAGAAAGCTGGTGTTGGAAAGGTGAATAAATTCAATAATCAAGTCGTAACAAAGATCAGAACGGTCACAATATTCATATTTAACTGAACTAATTATTGATATTTCAATTAAGGAAACAGGAAGTTACAGCAACAAAAAGTAAAAATATACAAAGAAAAGATAAAGATTCAGACATTAAGTCAGTGTTTGGAGAGAAAACAGAAATATTTTNTAATGTCAGACCAGGCACCATGCTGTATGAGGACACGAAGATGGTCAAAGACCCACCTAGATGGCACCTTCAGCACAAGTGGCAACAGGACCAGGGGCCTCATGTACAAAGCGTGCGTACGCACTTATCCACGCTCATGTTCAGATGTATCAAGAGCGAAATGAACGTGGAAATGTGCGGTCCTCCACGCCAACTCCTTGACTGGCGTACGCACGTTTCTATTGCTTTTGAGCCGTTGCCGACACCTAGAGGTGATGCTGGGAATATAAAAATGTACAAAACAATGTAAAAAAAGGTAATTCCTCAAAGTGATGTGCACATCAGAGACACTTAGATGAACACTTAACACACCCAGGTGTTTGCAATCAGATGAGCGGATATACAAGTTTACGTAAAACGGTGCAGAAGATCCCGTTAACAACAACGGCAGCTTTGGACCTGTTGGATGTTGCGAATGGATCAGTGCCAAGAGAACGGGTTTCCAGAGACCTCAGGACCACGACTGGATCATCAGTCGCTTTACGTTCCTGAGGGCAATTCGCTTAGAACAGCTGAGCTGCGGCCATTATTGGAGCGTAACACGTCCAGGAGCCATGTCCTACCTGTGCCCATACAGGTGCTGACCCACTGGACTTCCGAGCCACAGGGTCATTTCAGAGGGAGCTGGCTGACCGACCGGGACTGTGCCAGTCCACACTGAGCCGAGCCATGCCAGCTGTGTGGGTTGGAACCATCCGAATGTCAGCCAGATACATCAAGCTCCCACAGTGCAGCTGAACAGGACGACATGAACGTGCAATTTGTAGCGACGGCCGGTTCTGCTGATGTAATCGGAGCGACCGACCGCACACACATTGTTATAGAGGCACCATCACTAGATGCATGTGTTTATGTAAACAGGAGGCATTTTTAATTAAATCAGTGTCCAGATCATCTGTGATGCGCAAATACAGTTAAGTAACATTGTTGTGAGGCGGCCTTGATCAAAACACATTCTGACCAACAGTATGGTTGAGAACAGGCTACAAGCTGCACGGTGGTGGCTTCTTGGTAAGTAAGTCATTTAATTGTCCTAATATTAATCCCTCTGACACGCCTTCAGCATATGTGGGCATCAGCAGCTGTTGTGGCGGACCGGAGGATCAGCTGACCCCGGGGAGGCTGGAGGAATCCGGCGGGTCTGTGGTACGAGGCTGGGACTGGGTCTCAGTCTCCTCCTGCCTCATGTTGGAAAATAACAAACTGAGTAATCTGACACGAGACAAAGTTCTGATTTCCTCTTTGATATCCTGGCATGATTACGCAAGAACCTGTATCTTGTTTGGCTGCGAGCAGATTATTGTATGAGCCGA